TATAAAGTTGGCAATACATCACCCTGTGCTCGCAAATGAGGTTTGTCTGGAAAAATACGTGGTGCTCAATGCCATGAACTCAACGCTTGCTCGAGTCTGAGACATTGCCAACTGCTCTCCATCCTCCATACGTGTCCGGCTTCACTACCTCTATTTCAGGTCAAAGAAACTGGTGACCATAAAGTATAAGTTATTAACAAGGCCAATGGGCAGAGATAGTTTTCCAAAATAAGTCAGCCTGTTTCAAGTCTGAGTTCTTATTAACTACCACCTCCCCTGCCTCCTTCTTTATGGGAATATCATTTCTAGAAGAGAACTACTTATTCTTGTAGCAAATAACTAAGATAATACGATGTGAACCTTTAAATGATGCATGCCATATTTTAGATATAAGATATGACACAGTGAATAATGGCTGTCCCGTTTGGTATTGCTGATGGAAACAAAAAAATAATAATCCACTTCTGCGTTTTACATGTGAAAAATTCATCCTGACTACTAGCAAACTGTCAAAATGTTTGACTTTGACTTTATGTCTACCCATACTTTGGGTACTTCTTGCGACGATGACATTTTGTTGTAAGACAATTCATCGAGGTATCTCTTTATATGCCTTTCTGCAAGTTGGTTCAGAGCTTTTAGGTTGTCTGTAAAATATAAAAAAGTATGTTCTTCAAATCATTTGGATAGTTCTCTCAGCCTTCCTTGTGGGTGTAGACATATCCTGATTTTGTAATAAAGCTTTCAAATCAGATAAATGTGTGGTCACCAAATAATCATGAAAATAACAATTTCTATAGAAATTGTCATGGGTAAACAAGAGGGTTTTTTTTCTTTTTTAGAAAATGTATGTTTTGTTTATTCTTATAAAGTGCATATTGTGGCATTTGAGCAAGGTTAATTCTACAAATCCAGAATTCCACAGAACATTCTGAGGCTTTTTAAAAAGGCACCTAGCCATAGAAGATTGACAAGGTAGCTATTATTCGAGCTGCTGCTGTTTGGGTAAGCCGACCCCACAGGGAGTCTGATATCACAGCAGGGTCCCATGCGTTCTATTCACAGTTTACCCAAAAGCAGGTACTAAAGACCTGCCAAAGTTGACGCTATACTCAACACTGGATGAGATACAACAATTGACAGAGTATATGTCCTCTGGCTCCAGGGCACTTGGAGCATAGGCATGAAACAGATCCATGAAAAACCACAACATACAGATGCCATAAATAAAAGTATTTTAAAGTTATACTAGCTGCACAGAGGGCTCAGATAATTGACAGATATGATTTGAGAAACTTCCCTTCTTGAGTTGAGGAAGGAACAGGTCACCAAGCAAAGGATAAAGTCAATGTCACAGAATAAAAGACCTTCAGCAAAACTACAGCAGTCTGAGGGAGTGGAGGTTCCTTGGAAATAGACTCTGTTCATATCAAATATGGATCTATTTCTAGAGCACATAATGAACAAGGAGGACATATTGGTAAGGAATGTCAGAGAGCAATGTATATATGACATATACATCATACAAAGAGTTTGAATTCTCTCTTAAAGTCATGGCAATGACACAAAGACAGTGTCACAATCAGGCATTCTTTACAGATCATTATCCTTTGTCCCACAGCGTATAGGAAAGGTGTAAGTGGACCAGAGACCACGGGAGGGTCTTAACCATGTCAGAGTTTGGAAACTGAGAGAAGAAAATACATTCATGAAATCTTACAAGTATTGGAAGTAGAAATGTTGCCAGGTTATTTAAACGTAAAAGTGTGAGCGCTTCAAGAAAGCAAAAAAGTGGGAAAAGCCCAACCCGTGTATTGAATGCCAGTAACTTCCAGGGAAAATTTTCAATGATGCAAAATTTACTGTCCTGGAAAACAATCTTATTCAGGAAAACTTACCAGACCTCAGCAAATATTTGTGGAATGAAAACAAAATGAAACTAACAAAGGCCCCTACTACCCAAATCAGGAAGTTTAGCAGACTCTTCAACCAGCGCAATTTTATATTTGCTTAAGGATAGATTGACCCGATATGGAAGTTGATTATGTCATTGAAGTGATCAGAATCTCCTTAAGGATGTAATACAATTTTCATTTAGTTTAGACTTCATACCAAGAAAATGGGCAAATGGGTTCATCAGTTGGTGTGTGTGCTAAAAAGGCATCTGTTTTAGAGTGTATTATTACAAATTCTTACCCTTAACTTTTGGTATAACTAATGAAAACAAAGCTCCTATAATATCCTCTAAAGCACACGTTTTCTATTTGTGCTATGAAAAAAAAAAAAAAAAAGGCGTAAATCCAGAAGCCAGTTTGCTAAGGCCCTAATAGATTCTGACATATGAGCATCTTCAGCTGGATCTACAAAATACTTCGAGCAACCTCTCAAGTATGAAACAAATTCATTACTAAAAATAACCTGACTCAAGTCCTTTTAATAGTTCTTTCAGCTCACCCTGTGGGTTTAAGTATATCTTGATTCCAACCAAAGCTTTCAAATCAGATAAATGTGCAGCCACCCAATACTAACAAACATAGAATTTCTATTAAAAAAAAAGGATGGGTAACCAAGGGATTTAAAAGACAGATATTTTCAGGTTTTTAGAATGATTCCTTGATTTGTCACGAACAATAATTAATATATACATCCACTGAGTGAAGTTGTGATATCTCCATCATCACAAATTTTAACCATTGACAAAGAAGTTGTCTCGAAGCCTAGTCAGTCTTAAAGCTAGTCAATTTATTAAGAGACAGGAAATCGTTAAGAGTCTAAGAGTCACGTTTAGGGTTAATTCCGACTCTTGTCATTTACAGGTTTTGTGATCATGGACCAATCACTATACTTCTCGGGAAGCTGAGTTTTACAATCTGAAAAATGATGATGAAGTACCTTACATGGTTAAAGACAAAATGTGACCACATGTATCAAAGCATTCTAAATATGTTCTTACATAGGTGCTCAATAATTGTAATGTGCCATTATTCTTGTTTTAGATTAATTTATATTCAGGTGCCCAATGGAAATTTAAGGTTGCAAGTCTAATTACCAAACACAATTCCTAAATGTTCAATCACGTAGTATATGTTAGAAAATTTAATTCAAATTCAATTCTAATTTTATCAGTGCACTACCACTTTGTGTTATCTATTAAACACCAAGATCATCTAATATATACAACAAATGCATCATCAAATTTACCAAGAAGTACATTTTTTTTTTTTTGTCGCCTTAGACACTCTGTTGAGTTTGAGAGAATGTAGTTATTACACAGTCTCTGAGACTCTGGTATGTGTTAGAAAATGAGCTTATTGCATGATCTATGAGCTCCTTAGCAGCAGAGTCATATTTTTTTCCGAATCCCCAGAAGAATCTAACATAGTACTCTGTAGAAAGTAGATGAGGAGTAAATACTTTGAATGGACAGATTTCTTTAGGAACACAGGGAAGTAGACGATATGATTGATTTGCCTAAGACTGTATTTTATCCTTCTATGAAACTTCCGAACTCAGCCAGGTACCTGGAACAAAGTAGAAGGATTTTAATAAACTTTCTTCTTTAATGAATTGTATTCCTTGACTAAGGGTCTGGTCTTCACAGAGTAACGTTTGTAATTCTTGGTAAAAGTAACTAAGAGTTGCCTGGACATTACTTGACATAAAATCTCCCAAGTGTAATATCAATCACTTGTTACCACTGTCTTTCATACTTAATTTTCCAATAGAGAGTCTACAAATAATTAACACTAGTTAACTGAAGTGTCATGATTTTATTTCCTGATTTAATCTTTGTCAAATACATTATTAGTGAAATGGCCAAGAAGAGTTAGAGAAAGGGCTATGGCAAACTGTGAGATTAATCTGAGTTGAACTGGAACATACGAATAGATACATTTTCATGAATGCTCATTGGAAGTATGGGTGGATGAGCTATAAAGAAATCTGCAGTAGAAATGTACCACGAGAATTCGTAAGGAAAATTGACATTTAAAACTGATAGCTTATGTTTTGAAATAGGGAAAAAGACGATTCTGATTGGGTAACTACATTGGTATTTATCTCTATCCCAACCAACACAGATTTCACAAATACAAAACAATATGCTTGATGTACGTGTGTATAATGAAAAGATATTCATAGAAACACAAAATCTAGTTGGGAAATAGAAAAGAACATGAAGATGTCATATAAACCCCTCACACAAAAAGGATCAAATGACCTTAAAAAACACAAGTTGTCTTCAAGGTAGGAGAAAAGGAAAAATCCTACTACTTTCTTCATCCCTGCATCATCAGGAAGCATCCCACATTTCTTTTTAACATTAACAACACAAGTATTGCCTGTAACCCAATGAACTTACTCAGATAAACGCAATGTGGTTTTCTTTTAAAATAAGCTTTTACTGAATATATCAACAAGGTACTGTATAGTGTAAAGTGAAGTTTGTAGTTAACAAAGTGTACGACATGGTAGGTCTCAGCGGATGTGTAATGCAGAATCTTCCAGGCCCTTGCAGTCCCTTGTCAGTGAGAACACACTAAACATAAACCAGAAGCAAATCAACATATGGTTCAAACAATAACAAATCATCGGGATTAACTTTCAGTGAATATATACTGGTCCTAGGAAGGACAGACAGTGGCGATACTTTCACCTTGCCTCAAAAAGATTATAAATCTTACATCCTATGGATATTTTTATAAATGCCTCGGTGTGTGTGTTTGTGTGTGTGTGTGCACGTGTGTGTGTGTTTCATGCTAGTTTAAAAATGCCTGTTGCAATGGCCTTGCTTTGTGCTCTTCTGGTGGATGTGCCACTAGAAAAAGAAAAATGAAAACTATAGCACAAGAATCTGATCCGTTGGTTATAACAACAGTATCATACATGTACAAATCTTTCTCCCCACAATCTGTGACAAGCATCCCTATTGCCAGCAATTGTCTTTTGACCCTGCTGAAGAAATCAGAGAAGGGTGTAAACTATAGCATTCTTCATTAGTATTTTGACTTAAAAAAAAAAAAAAAAGAATATCAGGCCAGTTTTGACAAAGATTAAGAACTAGGAGAGTGTTTTGTTTTGTGTTTGTATCTCTTTCCCTTTGGGGCACAATGAAACTGCTTAGCTTGCCCATGAAGCAGGAAAATCATGGGCAAAACCATTCTTCTCACGTTCTAAAGTAATGCCTCCTTGTTGTAGGTTCCCGAAAAATGCTATAAACAAAGATGTCAATGGCAATTAACCACTTCGTGGTCAAAAGTTACACTGAGCTCTCCAGCTGATGTTCCCCAAACTAACCCAGCAACTGTTCCCCGTAACTTATGTTTGGACTGGGTGTCCTGCTGGCTACATGCAGAGCTGGTTCTCCACAGAGGGGAAGTAAGCTGTGATCTTGTGAAATGACTAAGACCATCATGATCTGCACTGATAAGAAATGGAGCCTTAGAATTAGCTACTTCGTTAATAATTTTGCCAGACTAGTCACATCACAGGGTTTTTTGTTTTGTTTTGTTTTTTGTTTGTTTGTTTGTTTGTTTCTGTTTTTACCTCAGGAAATATATCTAATATATTTTCAATGAACATCCAGATAACTAGAAATTGCATTATTTCTCATGGGATAGAATGTTTTCCACTTCTCACACAGGGAAATTAGGCAGGGAAACACACTTTTGTCTCTGCCCGTGACTGTCTTTTGTGATGAGCTGTTAATGCATTTTTGAGGGAAGCCCAGAGCCTCTCTCTGTTCAAGCACATTTCCCCAAACAAATAGGTATTAATGACAACCCTAGGTATGAATAATCATCAATAACATCTGTGTGATCATGGCTATACCTTTTCCTTTTAGAATTGTTTCTGCACAGTGACAGTTCCCTAGCTCTGAAAGTGGCTGTGTATTATCTGATCACCTTGTTTGGTCAAATGGTATCAAGCTCTTTATAAGCCAGTAGCTTATGTATGGCTTTGTTCACAGACTTGGCCTGCACTTTCAACTGTGACTCTTGACTAATCTCAAAATACGAACCAATGACAGCAAGAGAGGCTAAAGTACAGAGTAGAACACATTCCTGTGACTGAAAATGCCAGTCAAAGCCTAATCCAACACTGATGATTGGTTATTCAGCAGTTTTCCTAAGACACATAAGACATTACAAATCCCGTGACGTGCTTTCTATCCTGCTGTAAGTGAGAGCCCCGGGTATGTTATGACAAATGGGAGATTGATCTTAGATTTAGCAATCTCTGCCACATTATGTGCAAGATCAAAGTGAAACCTATTAACTACATTCTATGTTTTCTGGAACATCTTCTAGCAAAGGAATCATTTCAAGTGACTAGGTCTTCATTGTACCAGTTAAGCCCCAAATAATTCTAGGAATCCCATAAGACATCATAGAAACCTCTCCAATATTGGTCTTCTTGGCCCAAAGCAAAACGTTTCAGCAGCCAAATATCACACCGGAGTTATACACGCAATAGAAATAAATGAGAATGATTATTTTGTGGATCAGAGAGAAAAAAACCCTCAGAAATCAAAGTACCATCATTTGAACACAGAGTTTTATCTACACAGCCAAGGGGAAGAGCACAGTGGAAGGGAATTATCCAGTTAAGTACACAAAATCCCATGTCATTGTCCTGAATGTTACATGGCTTACTGTTACACTGATCACCTTCACAGACTGTCTTGTCCCTTCGCTGTGTGGAATTAGCTTTAAAAAAGCAACAGCCAAAATTTGCTAGCTAATATACTAAAATGGAAACCTAAGTCACTTTAGAATTAATTCAAATTAATGCATAGCTAATTTCAGCTCAACTGCGGTTTCGATTCTTGCTTCTACAACATTATAACTTCAGTTATATTTTCTGCTTATTCTGAGAGACAAGGGAGATTAAAACATATAAGTTGGGGGTACATTATTAAAGAAAATAAAGCTCTTACTATAAAGAAAAAACTTGCATAGCATTTTATACCTAAACTCTTACAAAGAAGACACATCACAGTTCTATTTTGTTAAAAGTGAGTGAGAGAGAGAAAAGCAAAAATGATTGTGACATTAACTTCATAGGTCCCTAAAAAATGGCCAGTGGTAAAGGAAATATGCAACACGGTGAAATTTGACTTTAGAAGGAATTTTCCAAGGGTGTGTGTTTTTTAGATAATGTATGCAATCGATAGCCCTTCTACATCTAAGGGATGAAAAGGAGTAAATTATACATAGTTTGTGAAGATGGGCATTGCTTCCAAAATATCTAGAGTTAAGCACAGACATCCCTCCCTTCTCTATGCCCTCTGCTCTATGCCCCACTCTGCCAAGATTAGGGGAACAAGCCTATGTTCCCTGACTTGTTCATTTTTCATGTTATCCTGTTAATAAAAGATTGATTATCCCTCTATGATTCCCAAAGAAGAGGAACATCCAAGACTGAAAAGGAATAAATGAAATTTCAAAAATGGAACAGGATCAAAATCAGTCCAAGGTGGAAACTCAGTATTGCTTAAAAAACAAAACAAAACATTATTTCAGCCAGCTTTGATGTGTTCCCATAGAATTATTAACACTGAAAATTACTATACATTTTAAAGTGTATAAGTATATACGGATATTTTGTGCAACCAAGACTGGCATCCAAAATTTTCTTTTAAATTTTAAGCAGAGTGGGAGAAAACAAACAAACAAATGTAGCATAAACAGCTAATTACGAAAATATATGTGAGGTGATTGGAAGACAAATTTGCGAGGGGATAAAGATATTAATTCAAGCTATTTCAACATGATACTAACACAGTCATTTGATAAAGTAGAGCAGAACTGCTGATCACTTGTTTTTGTCTAAATGGTATCAATAGTTTTTAAATAACAAGTTTAGTATATTCCAAACACTAATCTCTTGTTGGTCTAAATATCATGTTGACATAGCTGCAGTGAATCTAACCCAAATAATTCTCATTATCAAAAATAATTCCATTCAATATAATTCTTCCCATTATTTTATTAGCCTCTTCTAAAAAAGTATTCTAGAATATATCTCTGTTGAATGTGATTCAACCTGACATATGATTTGAATAGTAACACTTTTAAAGGGAGTTTTCTTGCTGGAACATCCTACCTGTCCCTGAAGATGACCGAAATCAGACTCAAGTCTCTAACTCTGTTATCACATAGAATCAGGGAAGCATGAGGAGTGATTTTTAAGCTCCTGGTCAGAAAGCCAATGCCCGGGTTTGAAGTTCTTTTCCAAACATGTCACTTGCTGGATTCTGCCGGGTTGGGTTAACTTATCTTACAGGAACGGGCTTCCTCGTGATGCTTTTCTATATTTCCTGCTTTGGGTCAAACCAGGGTAACTACCTCCTTTCTGATATTTCGAGATTTTTAACTTCTCTTCCAGATCAGGAAGTGCAGAAATAGCATGAAGGTATCTGGGCCATTTCTTGTTTTACCCACATCACTTAGCCTACCCTGATGAGTTCACTCTAATCTGCCCTTTCATCTGACCACCGACTGTAAGAAAGGAATTTATTCTGACAGCTTCCACAGCAAAATGGTTAATGTGCATCATGAGGAAGAATCACTCCGTCTTTTGCCTTGGCGTTGGGTTCTCATTGTACAACCCTGTACAGTACTTCAGCGACTATTTTTTTTTTTTTTAAGATTTAAAAAGCAAGGAGTTACAAAACTGTTTGTAATTAACTTGAAATAGAAAAGATAGCACTTTTTTTTTTAAATCCATTATATAGTACACCGTATAAATTACAGAGTATTCAAATGCACAAATGCATCTGGGTAACATTTATCAAATGTAATCGCGTGTCTCTCTGTGTACACACGTGTGTGGTCGCCAGAGTCTCACTGTCCGCCTTCCTGACGCCGGGCCTCTGGCGGTCACGTGTGGCAGTGCTCCAGATCTGGAACATTGCTGTTGCAGTATCGCATGTTGTTGGGGATATGGCAGTCTGTGTAATTAATGCCCCCATTTGGGGTGTAAATGGGCTGCAGTCTGAAATCTCCTTTAAGGAGCTGATCGTTATTTAAGGAGACAATCTGAAAGCTGGTTTCGGTCATCTCCAGGATGGAATTGTCCTTCTTGGTGCCTGCCTCGCAATAGTCGTCTTTCCGCCGGCCCCGGTTGTATTTCCACTTCTGGGACGTGTAGCGCCCCTTTTTGTGCATGTGCCAGCAAAAGACACTGAGCAAGACCACGAGCACGAATATCACTGCGCCCCCGATCAGGCCCGCCAGCAGGAAAGGGGAGCCCATGCTGTGGGAAGTCGTCTGCTCATGGCTGGAAGCAGTATTGCTGCCATTGTTCAAATAGGAGGCATGGGTGGTGGCCTCAGAACAAATGGTATCTTCCACAGCTCGGTAGTTAAAAGCATCCAGGGGCACCAAACAAATCCGATAGGTGGATCGGGGCTCTAGGTTAACCAGGCTCAAGTGCTGCTTCTCACCACTGACTATGCGTTCCTGGACGATGCCCCCTACTAAACTGTGGCCCATTTTCACCCATGTGAGTTTGTACGCCATCACAGTAAAGAGAGAGAGCCAGCTGACTTGAATGGACGTGTCGTTCACAAAATGGATAGAGAGTTGGATCCGTTCAGAAATAGGCGGTGTCACTCTTTCTCTGCCGTCCCAGTCAGGAATTGTAGGCAGTCTGGCGGTGGTGGGAGTCAGGGGTGTATAGCTTCTGCTGGGGGTAGGGACAGAGAGGGTGGGGGGCTGAGTCGTTGGAGAGGCTGTACTTGGGGCCGGGGTAAAGACAGGCAGCCCAGGGGTCGTGGTGGGGCAGGACAAAAGATTCATATTCAGCTCCCTGACAGCCATCCCCCGGACTTGCTCGGGCCCTTGGCACATGAAACCTCGCACGTTGAGAGATGAAGGGATGTATTTGAGCCATTCCGTGACCCATTTAATGCTGCAGTCACAAAACCAGGGGTTATTCCGAGCAGTGAGCTGCTTCAGGTTGGAGAGATTATCAAAGACCCCTTGAGTCAACATGCGCAGTTGGTTGTTGGATATATCCAGCCGTTCTAGCTTGCGCAGACTTGAGAAGGCTGTCAAAGGGATGTGGTTGATCTGGTTGTCCTGCAGGTAGAGCCTGATCAGATGTGTACCTGGGAGATCAGGAGGGGGGTGGGAGAGTGAATTCCGAACAATTGAAAATTCCTTGAGCTTGGTGAGATGGCTGAAGGTGCCCTCGGCAATGCCCTTGTTGGTCAGGAGGTTGCCGTCCACAATCAGACGCTCCAAGCTCGTGAGGTTCTGAAAGGCCATGTCTGATATGACAGCAATTCGATTTTCATCCACTCTCAGCTCTTGCAAATCCACAGGAAGCCCCACAGGCACACTGCTCAGGTGATTCTTGGATAGAAACAACAGTTTGAGGCTAATAGCCTCCCGGAAGGCCCCGTCTTCCACCCCCACTGTGGATATCGAGTTGTCATCCAGGTGAAGCTCCTCGAGCTTCAAGAGCTGGGCCAGAGCAGCCCGTGAAATGGTCTGAATGTTGTTTTCCTGCAAATGGAGAACTTTGACGTTCTTGGGAAGGTTCATGGGGAATTCATCCAATTGGTTGCCATAAAGGTAGACCGTGTGCACGGACCGGACGTTGTGCAGTTCTGCAGGAAATCCGGCATTATTAATTTGGTTGTTGTGGAGGTAGAGTACGGTTACGCCCTCCGGGATCCCAAGAGGCACTGAGGTCAAGCTTCGCTCATTACAGTAGACAAAGTTCCTATCACAACGGCATACACTAGGGCACGCTAAGATTTTTGACACTTGTGAGTAGAGCCCCAGGGAGATGAGAAGCCAAGATTTCAGGAAAAAAGCCCCATGGCTGGGCCACTGTGTAGTCTGTAGGCCCATTTCTGAAGTACAGAAACAAAATACAAGGTGGTGGGGAAAGTAAAAAGAGGAAAAAAAAAAAATATATATATATATATATATATAACAAAACCAAAATGACTGGACAGGGTTCTGTTAAAGTCCAGAACTCCAACTAGAGGAAAAGTCTCAAAGGCCTGTGGTAAACGAATTCTCCTGTGGTCTCTGGTTTTATCAGCCTATGTTGTCTTCTTTGTTACTGTCCTCCATGTGAAAAAAAAAAAAAATCAATAGGGAGAATTTTCCACACAGGCAATGAGTGAAGCCAAGTTATCAGCGGTCATCAGGGACCCAACTGGGCAGGCAGAACTAGAACTCCCTTCTCGTGTTGTAGATCAGTTCAGCGTTGATTAGACTCTGAACTTCTTGGTTAAGCTCAATCTGCAATCTGTTGTAGGAAAGCAAAGAGAAAAAAGTCAGTTAAGGGTCCTAATGGATGAAGTGCTGATCTAACTCTTTGCCCTTCAAGAACAATGTGCCTGGGACCAAATGACCAGAGGCAGGAGTTGGCGTAAAGTGATGTTTTGAGTGACAATAATTTAGTTGAGAAGGTATTCAAGAAAGGAACATGATTCAATTATCTGATTTTCAAAGGAAAACCATACTGTTACCCTCACCCTCAGTGATCATACTATGAATTTTACATCCCAATCAGTACCTTCTCTTAAATATCCATTTGCATATCCAAATAGAAAAGTGCAAGGCACACTGTTGAATCCACTGAATCAATAATGATGATCACCTACAAATCCAACTGGTCATCTTGTTTCAAGATGACACAAGTGACTGAGTAACTAATACAATTTGAGGGCAAACACATGAAACCCTTTCTAGTTATAAATAAACAAATGCAAGATAGGGACTGATAAGGTCGTTTAAAAAGATGCGCCCTTTTGGTATGATGCTTAGAGAAATTAAGTCAGTCAGAGAAAGAGAAATACCGTATGATTTCACTCATATGCAGAATTTAAGAAACAAAATAGGTGAACACTGGGGAAGGGAAGGAAAAATAAAATAAGAGGAAAATTGAGAGGGAGGCAAAGCATAAGAGATGGTGAACTCTAGGACACAAACAAGGTTGCTGGAGGGGAGGTGGGTAGGGGGATGGGGTACTTGGGTGATGGGCATTAAGGAGGGCACTCGATGTGATGAGCACTGGGTGTTATATGCAACTGGTGAATCACTAAATTCTAGCTCTGAAACTAATTTAAAAAAATAAAATAAAAGATATGTCCTTTTCATCTGACACTGAGGGAGAGGACTAAAAGTAACACACAGAAGCATGCATGAAGGCAAAGAGATTTCTCTTTTCTTCCCCACTTTTTGCCTCTTCTTTTTTTTTTTTTTAAGATTTTTATTTATTTATTCATGAGAGACAGAGAGAGAAAGGCAGAGGGAGAAGCAGGCTTCCCACTGAGCAGGGAACCCCATGCGGGGCTCGATCCCAGGACCCCGGGATCATGACCTGAGCCGAAGGCAGACGCTTAACCATCTGAGCCACCCAGGCACCCTGCCTCTTCTTATCTTTGTCTTTCTCCAAAACAGCTTACGCATGAGTTACCAAGGAAAGCGACTGGACTCCTGTCCATGATACGTTTCTGTTTATTCCTTCTTTTGGGACCTCCGGGTACAGATGAGATACACCCTTCTGATCCCCTTAAGAGCTGCCAAGCTCATGACTGGGAATAAGTTATTTTTCAACACTACTACTTTCCTCACATCTGTGAGGGTTGGTTTTTTTTTTTTTTTTCCTACTTTTTAAGAAGGACCTTCAGCAGACTTTGACAGGATAGAAGTCCCAGTTGGGGAAGTAAAGGCAATCCACAGATAGTAATCATGCCTTCCTGCTCCACAACGTGTCCTGTCTGTTTTTAGATCAGAGAGGTAAAGCAGTTAATTGAAAGGTGCTAGATTTGATTTCCTTACAAAATAAGCTAACAAGACCGGACATGGCAAGCTATGAGTTTCTTAATTCTCACCAACAGACAGAAACTCAAAACAACTTGTATCTAGAAGCACACAGGAACTATTTGAAACTGTTCCCTTAGCTATCTTTAGAAAAGTAATTTAAAAAAGAAAAAAAAAAAACACACAACACTGTAAATGCTATCTAAGTGTCAAGGATATTGTAAATTTGTTCTACAACTTAAAAAAAAAAAAAAATTGTGAACCACCTAAAAAATGCCTCTGATGACCTGAAACAGTAAAATGCATGTTTTATTGTTCGAAAACCTTTAAAAGGAAAGGGGAGGAATAGGGAATCTTTGTCCAGGCAAAACAGACTGAGCTATGACTTTATTAAAAACCAAACATTATTTGGGGCGACTGGGTGGTTCAGTCGGTTGAGTCTGCCTTCGGCTTGGGTCATGATCCCAGGATCCTGGGACCTAGCCCGCATCAGGCTCCCTGCTCTGTGGGAAGCCTGCTTCTCCCTCTGCCACTCCGCCTGCTTGTGTTCCCTCTCTCACTGTGTCTCTCTCTGTCAAAAAAATAAATAAAATCTTTAGAAAAAATTATTTAATTTGTTAAAACTTACAAAAATACATTTCACCACTAGACAGGAGCCATCCCCCAACCCCCAGCAAAAATCTCCCTATCTGCTTAAAGAATAATTTATAATACAACTGGGATAGTTTAGGAAAAATGAGTTTAATGTCATCAGCCTGATGTCATCCTTAGCTCGGATTTCAAATTTTTAAGCCATCTCAGTGTTCCCTGATTTCTAACTACTCAAGGGTGATCCTGGTCCAGGAGTGTGATCTCAAGCTGGGAAGTTGTTGGAAAGGCGGAATCTGCATATTAGCAAGAACCTAGGGAGTTATGTTAACATTTGAGAGGCATTGCCCTAAACACAGTAACATCTTATTTAATCATTCAAATGTTTTACTTCCTTAAATATAAAACAAATGCAAGAGCATGTCAAATGACTCTTTAGGAAGAGTAAGCATAAGGCATACTGCTCACTTCTGTCCCCAGGAGATAGTCTCAGATTACATCTTATACATAAATGACAGCTTGCATGTGGAGTAGTGCAATGACTACACCATACCCTTGGCCTCCACAGACCCTTGAAAATGTACATCTGAGTGACAAGCACTAATGCCCAGTAGGAGCTTAAAAAGTTATTTGTAATCAGGGCAGCCCACTTGATAAAGCAGGATTTATTTAAGAACAAACATTTGTTTGGTGCTATTAACATTTACTCTTCATAAGAGGTAGGGAAGTGAGACCGAAAGACTAGAACCTAACACAGTTTCGAGTATTCCACAAGTGGCAGGGGGAGTACTCCTTCGAGTATTCGAGTAGCACACAATAAATAAAATTTCCAAGACAGAAAAACAGCTGCTCCAGTGTTCTAAGTTCCTAAGTAAAAAGAATAGATGTTTCTTAACTATGTTTACAAGCCAAGTTTTAAGGCCCTGGAAACAATGAGCTAATTCTTGAGGATGACAGAATTTGCTTAGAAAGTTCATCAACTAACAACCTCAAAGTAATAATCACTGGGAGATAACAAAATACTCAGATTTTGGACCTGGAAACTATCATGCTTCCAAATTATACATTTGCCATTTGCCTGCACTGTGTCTTATGGAAGGAGGGGAAAAGCCCCATCAGCCCATCCTTTGCCCCAGGCCTTGATCTCTTGCTGATGTACTCTACTTAAGAGTGCTTCTTTCGTAATTATGTAAGAAGAGGATGTGGTCCTGAAGAAATCCTCTAATAGGATTACTTCGGACAAACTGTCACTGTTTATCCACCTTAACAGAAGAAAAGTCCCATCGAGATCAGGATGTGTTGATCAGCTATGACAACTTCAATTCCGAATGAAAACAAGCTCTCAGGGTTTTCTTTGAACTTCTTGAGAATCCCAAAAAATTACAGAAAAGAGCAGATTTGTTGTGATCCTTGGATCAATGACAGCCTATATATGTCAGCCAATATACTGTATCTTTGTTCAAATTAGTGCAAGTGTAAAATTACAAACATAGGCAATAATGACTTTTTTTTTTCATTTAAGTAGGCTAAAATTTCCTCTATATTTTCAGTGCTAATTCCTACAGAATACTAAAAGCAGAAATGCTTTCAGACCTTAAGCTGGAGACTATTCATAAAGAAAGCAGTATAGTAGAATGGTCAAAAGCACAGCCCCCGAGTTCTCATCCCATCTCTGACACGGAATAGCCGCATCATCTTGACCTTTCATGCCTTCCTTTCCTCACCTGAAAAATGAGGATAATAACAGTTCCTAACTCATAGTTTTCTTGGGAGAATTAACTAGGATAGTATTTGCCAAAAGCTTTCATGATGCTGGACACAAGCAAGAACATAATAAATATAAACTGTTACTCTCCCTAATTATTATTATTTATGTTGTCCAAAGAGGTAAACTCTAATGTGTATTGCAAAATAAAATCACCTTAAACATACCAAGTTCTATGCCTTTCCATATACTCCAGAATTTCTCAACCTCAACACTATTGACATTTTGGCCTGGATAATTCTGTGTGGGGCTGCTGCCATGAGCATCCAAAAATGTTTCCAGACATGGTCTTACATATGTCTCCTGGGGTGACAAAATCACCCCCAGTTATGAACCACAGACCCACACCATCTTAGAAGTACCTTAAAGGTTAGCATTATTATTCTAATTTTATAGAAGAAATTGAGCATCGGGTTTCTAATAAATAGAACCTAAAAAAGCCTCTTGCCAAGGACACCAAGAAAACATGAAAATGTAACATGTCTGTCATTCACTTATTCAACCAGCATTTAATAGGGCACTAGAATGAGGATACAGTCTGAGGTGGAGCTAATGTGGATTTTGGCTTCACGAGTTTGACTAAAGTCAGTGAGGGGAGAGAGAAATGAATAAGCAGGGAATTATGGTACTATGTAAAGTGTTCTAATACTAGGGTATCAAAGAATTATGGTTGTGCTTAAAGAGCTCTAAACTAGTCCCCGGGGTATCAGGGAAAATGCTGCAGGACAAGGATTGTCTATGTGATGATCTGAAGGCTAAAAAGGTACAAGCAAGGGAAAAGATTCCAGAAGTGCTGCACATGGACCCAAGCTGGTTGAAATCTGGATCAAGAGGTGAAAGTCATGGGATGCCTGGGTGGCTCAGTCGGTTAAGCGTCTGCCTTCAGCTCAGGTCATGATCCCAGGGTCCTCAGATCAAGTCCCACATCGGGCTCCCCACTTGGCAGGGAGCCTGCTTCTCCCTCTGCCTGCCACTCCTCCTGCTTGTGCTCTCTCTCTCTCTCTGACAAAAAAATAAATAAAATCTTAAAAAAAAAAAAAAAAAAAAAAAGAAGTGAAACCCAGCCCAGTGGAGAGAAGAAATAAAACTTGGACAGCACAGCATGTTCTCCCAACTCTTCCTGCTTC